TTTACTGGGTCCCTTTTTTCTATGGTTTTTCCATTCTCTAGCGCACTTAGTTTGGGCCTCTCTACACCTCTGGGTGAACCAAGGGTTCGTTCTGGTCTTCCCATTGTTTCTGTTGCCCTTGGGTACGACCCTCTCTTCCGCCTCTTTCCATTTTGTCACTTGTTCCATCATTTCTTTTACTGATTCCCCACCTGCTCTATTTCCCACTTAACCTCATGCAGGAAATTTCTCATGCCGGTGTAGTTCCCTCTTTTGTTGGCTTCTTCCTTCCTACTCGTCCTACTTCCCTCTGCACTTTTAACTCTACTATGTATTCGAAGCTCAGGACTACATGATCACTTGCTCCGAGAGGCCGTGTGTGTGTGTGTGTGTGTGTGTGTGTGTGTTCGTTAGAGAGAGAGAGAGAGAGAGAGAGAGAGAGAGAGAGAGAGAGAGAGAGAGAGAGAGAGAGAGAGAGAGAGAGAGAATATTTCTCGCCTCACTCAACAATTTCCTCCTTACATCTGCTTCCTCGTCTGCATAACTTGCAGTGTTGTCAGAAACGGGACCTAAAAGTCATGGTCTCTGCTTAATACATAAATAAGCAAGCAATTATTGTGGGATGAGGGGAAATTACTGAGCAAGTTAGGATATTGTGGGGGAGATTGCAGTTACGTCTTGAATTATCGTGGGGAGACAATAGGATCATCTCGGATTATCGTGGGAAGACAACAGGATTATCCTGGATATCGTGGGGAGACAAACAGGATCATCTTGGATTTTTTTGGTAGTCGATTAAGATTACTCTGGGAATACTGTGGGATTATTACAGAGCATCTTGAAGCATCGCTCTGGGTGGGATTATTACAGAGTATCTTGCATTATTAATAATGATGATCATTGCTACATCCTTTGTGTGTCAGTGGTTCTTCTTGACTGTAAATGTCAGCAGCGCCTCGACAAGATCATATTAGGCAGTGTAACCATGAACCGTAACATCAGAATATTAACTTTAAAGTATAATCGTGTTGTTCATCATTACTTCTACTAAAAGAAAGAAGATAAAAAAAACCTGAGCGCTTTTATGTGTTTACACACATATCTTCAGAAGATATGTACGTAAGCACGTGAAAGCGTTCTGATTTTATTTCCCATTTTACAGTTTTTTTTCATATTTACAATCACGTTTAATTGTGATTCTAGACGTTAAACAGAAGGGTGGGAAGCATCAACTAGTACTTGTGTTTCCTTCTGGCCAACTGTTACCCCAAAGTCTAACTGGAAGATTATTTTGACCCTATAATCTCTCTTCCTGGGTAAGATTCGGCCTTTTTGTCTATGTCTACTTTAAGCTTGTTGTCATTGCTTGGGTTCGGGGATATCGAATAGGGACACACATCTAGAGAGGTACATTATCCTGGGCAAGGTCAAGCACCTAGAAGAAACAGGCCATCGCGAGCATCTAGATTCGCTGCTCCTCTCTAGTCATTCATTCTGTTCGCGAAAAGAACAGCAGTGGCATTGTGCCCCAAAGAGGATCCGAGAAGGATGGTATCTGTGGAAACATGTTTGAAGCTTCTGGCAGTTCGGATCTCCTCATTGCAGTGATGGCTGACTGGTTGGTAAAAATTATTTTTATTTTGGAAGGGTTAAGAAAAAGAACTACAGAATCTTCCTGTGCCTTCACTACTGAAGATTCTCTAAGAGGGATTGTTTATGCTACGTTGGTGAGCTGTCATCTAGGAAGCAGATTCTCACTAGGCTAATAATTGCCTTAACTGTTATGGAGAAGAGAAATTTAACGAGAGGATAACCCTGCATAACGCAGGTTGGGGAAGGGGAATTGAAAATTGTGCTTGATTGGCTGTCAACTACAGATTACTATTCAGTAGAATGAAAACATTTTTAAAGCCTAATTTCAGTACTGCCTTATCCTCGGGTAGTTTATGGATATGTCATGACGCGTGAACTGCTGTTTCGCTGCCTTGAGGGAATTCAAACCCAAATTGGTTTGGTTGAAGCAACATGGCCTCTGTAAGGATGATTCTAACGCCGCTTTAGCAACGAGGCAGAGAAGGCCAAAGTTATCATTCCTTCTTTTTCAGGACATATAAGGATACAAAGGATGCGTTTAATTTGGACAGGAACTAGACCAGCCAGGAAGATGCTGACAAACCTTGAAATGTCATGTAGATCAACTGCTGTCTTTTTATCGAAAGCTGCATAAGCTAGAGCTTTTAAATGCTGGAGTCTTGTTCCAATGTTTCCTCCAGCACAACCAAAGAGAAACAACATAATCATTTTGTAAACATCCCTCTTTTGCAGAAACAGTGAGTCTGCATTGGGGATCATGGAATTAGGAATGTTGGTGACACCGATTTCTCAGACCAAATGCTTTTTGCTCTCAGTGTTGCAGCACTGTTAGCATTCACAGCGGAGATTTTTTTTTTCTTTTGCTGGCAAATAGTCTACTCGTCTCCGTATGCTACTCTTTTTCTTTATTCTTTTGTTATGCCTGATCTCTAATTTTCTCACTGGAACCATTTGATGGGTCTATCAAGCTCATTTTTGTATTGACGGATAGGCGAATCAAGTCAGTTCTCAGGAAATCTTTAATCTGATGACCGACAAGGCTAGCGGCTCGCCTCCTCTTGCCACCCCTGCCAGAGAAACATTACCAAACAAGAGAAAATTTGCCTTCATAGTGGGTTGAGAAATTAGTATGGCCTACATTCACTTTCTCCAGGAGGTCTGAGTGTTTCCCAGCTACATGTGGGACGTCTGCTTTGGGAATATGCGGAAGAATTATGATGACTGAGGCCTTGATTGCCCATATGAGATCACCTGGTGGGAAAAGATTTGCCGAGAGCGTTCAGGTACTTAGTGTAGCTGTCGCACTGCTACACACGGGAAAATATCTTGATCTAGGACAGCTACTTGGGTTAGGTGTGGATCACTACCCTTCTTCATCTTGTCGGTATTGTATACCATACATATAAACTTGTCAGACACTGCAGCATCATGAATCTTGGTTCAGAGGACATCTCCACAACATTCTTCACTACTACTGACCCATCGTTTGGTTATAGTCCACTTATACTAGGAATTCCCACATACCAGTGACAACGTCTTCGTCTGCTTCACGTCCCTCACCTGCCACCGGTATATAAGCTTGGAGCTTATATACCGGCGCATGGAAACAATAAATCGGAAAATAAGTAAAGCAGAATAAGAAGTGAGAAAGCTTATACATTAAACATGAAGGTTGTATAAACCTTGGTAATAAATACCGACAAGTTGGTTTAGAAAGACACGTAAGCAAACACTATGACATATTTATTAGAAAACGTTTCGGTCCTGGGACCTTGATCACTTCTAACATATAGAGGTAGAAAGGCATTACATATGTAGGCGGAGAGTGAGGTGTAACGCACGTGACCTGAGGAATGTCATAAGAACATGAGAACATAAGAATGGAGGAACACTGTAGAAGGCCTACTGGCCCATGCGAGGCAGGTCCTTATCAAAACAACCTCTGCCTATGATGAGGACGTGTAGACCTGCCTCGCATGGGCCAGTAGGCCTTCTACAGTGTTCCTCCATTCTTATGTTCTCATGTTCTTATGACATTCCTCAGGTCACGTGCGTCACACCTCACTCTCCGCCTACAAATATAATGCCTTTCTACCTCTGTATGTTAGAAGTGATCAATGTCCCAGGACCGAAACGTTTTCTAATAAATATGTCATAGTGTTTGCTTACGTGTCTTTCTAAACCAAACATGAAGGTTAAATACAACGGCAGGTCACATAACATAATTCAAACACAGGAATGAGAGACAGAAGAGCAATGATTGTGCAAGGATTCCCCTCAGCCTTGTAAGATACAGAAACTGGGTCACGATGCACTCGTAGCCAACTTCAACATTTTTCACTTATACATACAATTTGTTCCCGGTTAATATTATGGTAACAAGTCTCAACATACTGGAAAACTACTGAAATGTCTTGTCCATTTCTAGTTGTTTTCTTGGTGTTACTCCACTATTCAAATTTCTACTTGCTTACTCTGTGTACGACTGGTTGCAGTCTCCCTAAAGAATTTCATATTTATTTATTGCATCTAGAGCGGTTTTTTTTATTTAATGTACTTGTTACACAATTTTTTTTTTTTTTAAAGATTAGCCGGTATTCTCCCGGCCCGGGCCTTTTCCAAGTGGTGGCCCGGCTTTGGCTCCCTCTTTAGGGAGTATCTGAGACCTAAGTCTCCCATGGGAGGAGGCACAAGTACCTCCTCATCTTTGGGACCAACTGTCCCCAGGCCTAGCCACAAGCTAGGCCTCTCTGGTCTGCCATCCCCGCCCCAAGGGGGCAAATGGGAATGACAGTCGTATGAGCTAAAGGCTCGGGCTCAGGCACCTACCCTACCCTAGAAGGGTTAGGCATGGTGTCGATGTTTCACAATTACATATTTTTGCTAGTGTACTGTAATGAAGCTTAATTTTGTTGGGAGTAGACGTAACATATGCAAAGTTCCTGTACATTTTGTTGTATGGTAAAGGGTTAACAGTTTAGGACAAGTTCCCATTATGATACATTTTGTCTTACTAAGGACTCTATAGTAAGTAGTATTGGCTAGTGCTATAGAACTATTGGTTAGTACTACAGTAACTAGTATTGGCTAGTACTATAGTAACTAGTATTAGCTAGTACTGGAGAAACAATCTGGTCGGAATGGCGGCAGAAAAGTGCAAATGATTAATGAAAAGATTAAATATGCATGATTTCAGTAAATTATTAAATGAACTTCTATTGAAGATCATAATATAGTGGTAAAATATCTAAATAGACGAGATACTGTCTCGTCACACAAAGCACATTAATCGCGTCACATTCTTGGCTGTGATGTTTAGCAACCTTCCAGATGCCAGAGGCTAGGGAGTCCTCACCATCCACGGGTCACGCCTCACTGACTTGATCTGCACAGATCAGAACATCCGGCCTCACCCTCTGTGACCCGGACAAGTGAAACAAAAACGGGAGAAGAGCTTCAGCTGACCTCGGCCTGGGTATATAAGGATCCGCCCCAGCTCACTGCTTCTATCCTCAGCCCATCCTCATTCGACCAACATGAAGCTCGTGAGTACCCAGGGAGAAAAGCAGGGGAAATATTAATTTTAAATTATATTTATGCTAGGCGCTGAAGTGTTACTCAGAGCAAAGAATGGTGAAAGCTCGATCCTCGAAGAGACAAGCGTAAAACAGACACGATTTCCGAGATAGCAACTATTTCATTTGAAACTCAAAATTATCGTGGTAATTCATTGACCTCTCGCATGCATTTGGGCACTGCATTTATTTGCCTCTCTCTTCTATTCCCAGGTAATTTTCGTCTGCCTGGTCGTCTCCGTGGTCTCCGCCGCGCAGTTTGGTCAACAGTTTCCTCGCTATGATCGACCAGACTACCGTCACATCGCCATCCTGAGAGACAACCGCCACGACAGTGGCGACGGTAACTTCAACTACGAATTCGAGACCGAGAACGGCATCTCTGTGAGCGCTGTTGGTCGTCCGGGCTCCAAGGGTCAGAGCAACATCCAGGGTTCCTACAGGTGAGTTTTCAGCTATCTTACATATTACAAGCATCTACGATCCCATATAGACGAGTCCCTGGTGTTTATAACTTTTTAAAGGGACAGATGCACCAAATTAACCTGTACCTCTATTACTCGCTGACCCATATTTTAATGCCAGAAATTAATAACAAAGAATCGAAAACTTTCTCTCTTACACACACACACACACACACACATACACACACAGCAGAAGACAATAGGATATTATCTATCACGCAGCTTCAGTAATATTCAGGAATGTCAAAATAGCGGTAATAATGTATTGTATTAGCGACCTACAGGTGACTGAGGCTACGGAAGACATGACGTGCGGGATAGGTAAGTAATGTTTCAAAAGGATGGGAGACACACGAGACAAAACGCTCGAAACGGCCAAGCAAATATTTCGAAGAACTCTTTGATGTTTCTCAGAGAGAGATCTTTAGTAAATTTGCTTGCTGTGTGTGCATTAGTCCTGTTAAATGTGTGGGGAGTGTGAAGGTAGCTCGTATAGAGTGTGAATGCTGATGCATGTTTGAAGATGTTTGTAAGTGTTTTACGTGTATGAGTTGATTCTTATTATTATTACGATTGGGTCTACATAGAACGTCATCCTCCGTTGCTTCTTTATCCAAATCGCTCCACATATCGGAGAGCATGATAGATAAAGATAGATAAAGGATTAGGGAGTTTATTTCCTTGCATAGTTTACAATGTGTAGTTACAATAATGATTTGATAAGTTGAAAGAAAGCCACTACCATGCAGAGAAATTTTTGGCAGTTGTTATTAGTTAGTGCCTGCACAAGCAGGGTTGTTCTCGCGGAATCCCTCTTTGGTATTTGATCTGTTAAGAAACTTCTGAACATTTTTCACTTACCTCTTTCTTTTGCAACCCGTTCCACTGTTCTAACACTGAAAATAACCTTCTGATTTGAAGTGTTTTTTGTGTGTGTATGGTGGTGTGTGTGTGTGTGTGTGTGTGTGTGTGTGTGTGTGTGTTGTGTGTGTGTGTGGTCCTATTTGCTACTTTTGTGGTTGCAGGTGGTTCGAGGTCCGGTCTTGGGCCCGCTCTGCTTCGCTGATGCTACTAGGTCCTTTTTCCTGCCCATGGCTTATATACCTGCCTTAAAACTATGTATGGTTCAGCCTCCACAATCACTTTCAGGAATCAGATATCTTTATTTGAGTATGATAGAATAACTCCTAACATCCCTTTGAATCATTATGTGTGTGTGTGTGTGTATGTGTTTTGTTCGGGCTGTGTGTGTGTGGGTATGGGGCGTGGTGTAAAGGATGTGAATGCGCAAAGTTGTTGCTGTGTGACCTGATGTGTGAGGTGCTATAAAGTACGTGTATACTTATACAAACGAAACAGATTTATGCTTTTTTTAAGTAAAATGAACTGGAACACTAGAATATAAATTTATTTATGAAAATTGTCTCATCAGCCCAAACCTCTCCATGTCAAGTTCATCTCCCTACGGTACCCCAGCTGAGGTCCGCGTACACGCTACGAGTTCGCTACTCGCGCGTATCCCAAATTCCCAACGCCCATGCCACTCACAGCCCACCTTGCGGAGTCTTACCAGCCGAACATTACGAGGAATCGTCTTTACTAACACACGAGACGTATCACAACTAGATAGAAACTTGAAGCTACAAAAGGACTGGAAGACCAGCATGACGATGGATGAGTTAGCAGCTACATCTACCCTTGCTGGATGAATGGTTCTCCTCCGCCGTCTGCAGAAGGCTTCTTCCTTCGTCAACATTCAACGCTACTTCAAAGGTCTAAGACCATCGATGATGGCCACTGATGATACAGTTTACCTTGTGCGGAGCTGCTTACCTCGAACGCGTAATCATTTATCTCAATAAATTTTCTGATTCTCAAACTCAATGTATATGATTTTCCTCTGTGGTAATAAGTGTGTGAGAATGTATAAGTATGAGAGAGTCGAGTGTGAGAGAGGCCTTCGTTCTCCACAGATTCTGACGTCAAAATCACTTAAAATAATTTATTACCATTTCAACAACAGAAGGCAGCATATGTGGCTTCCATGGTCACTTTTGACATCCCCATCAGCCTCTAATTTTGTTTTAAAGGAAATTTTTTCTATAAATTAATAAAGAAAAATAAATTAAATAGTTTACAACACTCAAACCATACCACGGGCGGGGAGCGAACCCGCGAGCAGAGTCATAAAACTCCAGACCGACGCGTTAGCCACTGGACCAGCTGGCTACATATAAACATTCTCCAATCTACAGTAAAATATCCATGCTTGAGGCTCATGATCATGCCAGCTGGGAAAGAAACATGGCTTGTGAACCAGGCTGCCCTGTCTTAATGTGACATTTGTGCTGGTTTAAGAGTACTTGCTGGGAATCTTTTCGTACAACAGTAAATATACGAACCTTTGAACTGCGATCTGTCTTGATCATACCCGCAACCTAAGTCGTTAAATAGAACGTTAGATTTTAACCTCATAGTACAACACAACTATTTCGCAACAAAGCTGAAGTGAGCTCGAGCTATCATGAACCAAGATATTGAAGCTCCCTATAATTCACTAATTAGATCGATTGTAGTTCCTCTAGATTTTGGTCTCCAACTTACATAAAAGCATTGATCAACTTAGAGCCAGAGGAAAGAAAATAAATTTACCATATCTCAGAAACAACTTTCGAAGCAGACTCATCCACTTAACCTTTTAGCCTCTTAGGAAATGTAGGACTGCAAAATGTAGGCTAGCAAAATGATATGTGCAATTGTCAGGCTGCAAAATGTAGGCTGCTAAATGAGGCATGCAAAAATGTAGCTCAAAATTAGGCTAGCAAAATGTAGGCGCAAATAGTAGGCTGCAAAATGTAGGCTGCAAAATGTAGGCTGCAAGATCTCATTCAATTTTTTTAGGATATTGAATGACTCTGACAAACTGAAACTAAAGGAACTATTTGTAGTGCTTAATGAATCCATGACAACGAAGCAGAAGATGGAACACGAACGAACGAAAAGTGTTTTTATTTTTCTCAAATAAAATTAGAGTAAAATGGAATGTAACTACCGACTAATATAGCAAGTGGAAAGACAAGATATTAACTCATAAACAGCTGAACAAGAACTTTGCAAGTGTAGGAATCAACTACATACTACAGTGAGACAATCCGGAATCTACGGATTCCTGAAACTTTTCAACAGCTGCATCTGAACGATTAGTTGACAACGAGGCAGCCTAGTTAATTATAGCAGTAGCTGTATAAGTAGTTATGTTGGTCATAGCAGACTTGGTAGTAATTAGCAGTAGAACTAGTTGGCACGCAGTTCTGAGTGGCAGTGGAGTAACACGAGTATGTAAGATGGAAATAGTGCCAATTAAGTACAGGTACTTGTATCCTATTCTTTCCATCTAGTTCCATCACTCACATAAATTCCATGCAATTTTCCAGCATAGTATAGTAGAGTTTTCTTCCACTGGCGGCAGTGGCCGGAGGGAGTGGAGAGTAGGGAGAGAGCCTTCTGCTTCACTATCCTTGACTCAACTACCTTGATAATGCGCCATAGTCCTCCATCCCAAGTCCTCTGTTATCTGCCTTTCTCATCTACTCTCGTGAATAACTTGTTCTTAATTCCAGCAGGAATCAGTTCCTCAGAGCGAGTGATATTTAACATGATCTCAGGTAAACAATTCCCTGAGTGTATATTAAAGAGCAATATTATCATAAACTATATAAAAAAATGCGTCTCACTCTTTGGTGTGAGGGAAAACCCGGTGTGGAACACCGACAAGATGTGGTTAAAAATACGTGAGCAAATTTTTCTGACACTTTGTTGTGGATAAGTTCCGGTCTTGTGACCTTGGAGTGGATAAACTTCCGGGACTGAAAACTATTCATGATAACACATGTGAAGTGTTTGCTCACGTATCTTCAACCACTATTTTGGGGAAAGATTTAGCTAGCTCCTGAGGGCCGCCATCCTCATGTCAGAAATTATTGAGCCTTCACCGCCCTGCGTCAAGACTTTAGGGAGCCCTCACCGTCCTCGGTTAGGCGCCTTCTAGGCCCTCACGTCCTCGGTTAGGCGCCTTCTAGGCCCTCACCGTCCTGCGTCAAGAATTTAGGGAGCCTTCACCGTCCTCGGTTAAGTCGCCAGGGAACTCCCACCGTCCACAGGTCACGCCTCACTGACATGATCTGCAAAGATTAGAGTATGCGACCTGACCCTGTGTGACCCGGACAGGCAAGACAAAAACTGGAGAAGAGCTCCACCTGACCTCGGCCTGGGTATATAAAGTCCCGCCCCAGCCCACAGTCGCTATCCTCAGCTCGTCCTCACTCAACAAACATGAAGCTCGTGAGTATCCTTTTCCAGGAAGAGGGTGGGGGAGAAATATTGATTTAAAATTAGATATAAAGTCCTAGGAGCAGTGGAGTCTCTCTCTTGCCTTCATTTTAAGCCAAAATATTCAGTGAATTCGATGCTTTTTTAAGTGATTTAAGACATCTGATTTCTATTTAATTTCATCCTATTCCCAGGTAATTTTCGCCTGCCTGGTCGTTGTCGTGGTCGCTGCCCGCAGTTTGGTCGACAGTTTCCTCGCTATGATCGACCAGACTACCGTCACATCGCCATTCTGAGAGACAACCGCCAAGACAGTGGTGATGGTAACTTCAATTATGAATTCGAGACCGAGAACGGCATCTATGTGAGCGCTGTTGGTCGCCCGGGCTCCAAGGGTCAGAGCAACATCCAGGGTTCCTATAGGTGAGTTCTCCATTATCTTAAACATTACCAACATCCAGGGCGCGTACAGGTGAGTTCTCTTTTGTATTAAACAATCCCAGCATCAAAGATATGTCAGCCTTATCTATAATTCATTAGACTACTTACAGATTTTTAATGGGATACTAACGTTTTCTATACAACCAATACAATATGATGTACATCCCTCATCTATTACGACCAGAACATTATTTTATGATGTTTCAGCCTTCCCATCAGAATAACACCAGGCACCTCTTCACCTTCATCCACAGATTCACTCTTCCCGACGGCACCCCAGCTGAGGTCCGCTACATCGCTGACGAGTTCGGCTACCGCGCTGAGTCCCCACAAATCCCAACGCCCCATCCACTCCCCGCCCACGCCATCGAGCAGATCCGCATCGCCGAGGACCAGCGCCGACGAGGGATCGTCTTTAACTAACACACGAGACGGAACACAACATAGCATAGAAAACTTGAAGCTACAAAAGGACTGGAAGACCAGCATGACGATGGATGAGTTAGCAGCTACATCTACCCTTGCTGATATGTTCTCCTCCGCCTCTGCAGAAGGACTTCTTCAGAACTTAACGCTACTCAAAGGTTTTGAAGACCATCATGATGGCACACTGTGATCAGTTTACCTTGTGCGAGCATGTACCTCACGCCGTAATCATTTATCTCAATTAAATTTTCTAGATTCTCATAATCATGATATGATTTTCCTTGTGAGTTATAGAGGTAAGAATCCCTATAATTACGACAGAGTCAGTTATGAGAGTTCCCTTCTCCAAATTCTGCACTCTTCACTTAAACTAGATCACTTTGCACACAGGACCATTCCCCAGTGAGTCCTAACATTGTACATATCGCTCTAGCCATGATTACCCTATAACCTGCATCCACTCCCCAAGCAACAATCCATGGAACCTGCTCGCCAGAGACGTGTATTAATATAATATAACATACAAGATAGTATAATGAAGCTACTATAAGTAAGCCAGATAGCAGTAGCAGTAGCAGTAGATCTACTTGCTGTAGTAAGTTTAGCAGTAGCAGTAAGGCAGTAGTAGCAGTAGCATACAGTAGTAGCAGAGTGCATGTAGACAGTAGTACAGTAGTAGCGGAGTAGTTAGTAGTACGTCGTCATACAATGCAAGTATGCAGTATGCATAGTTCAGTAGTACAGTAAGTGGTAGTAGAGTAGTAGTAGTAGAGTAGTAGTAGAGAGTGCAGTAGCATAGATTAGTAAACATAGTAAGCATTAGAGCATAGTAGATAGTTGTACTAGTAGTAGTAGTAATAGTAACAGTAGTGTCTGTAGCAGTAGTAGGTGTGTATTGTAGTGGTGAATAGTTAGTAATAGTATGTATTGGTGGCAGTAGTGTATGTGTGTATATTAGTATGTGGTTAGTAAGTAGTAGTAGTAGTGTGTAGTGTAGTAGGTGTAGTAGTGTGCAGTGTGGTGTGGTAGAGTGGTAGGTGTAGTAGTAGTAGTAGAATATACAAACCGCTCTTAGGTTATCAGACAACTTTTTTTATATACAAATCTTAAATGTTAGCTGGTCCATACAGTTGCACTTCATGACATCTCAAGCTGAAGAAGTACTTCCTGACATCTCAAGCTGAAGAAGTATTCCTGACCAACTCAGCTGAAGAAGGTACTTCCTGACATCCTGAAGCTGAAGAAGTACTTTAATCATTTGTCCTTTAACATAAGTTTTCCCCTATTGTTCCGATTTCCTCACTTCAATCTTTGCCAGTTTCTCTGGTTATTTAAGTATCTTGCACATGTATATATAGCTTTCTCTCTTTTAGGTTACAATGTTTAGTTTTTTGTTATGTGAGTCATTGTATGTGTGTAAATTAGTCTGATCAGAACTTTTTTTATTACAGAACGTGTAGTTGTGTCATGCAGAGCTCTGTGATTTCTAATACACACAGAAATCGTAGAATGTTGTTAGTGTTAAGGAAACAGAGTACACTATGTGATATCTATCAGTAGCTACTAGGATTATAAGCGTTACAGACATTACACAGAGGTAGTATATATGTATTAGATAGGAGCCTTGTGCTACAGGGCAGAGGTTGACATTAGGTATAGGTGCAATTGCGTATTGCAGAGTTATTAATATCGTTAGAGATTAACAGGGGCAGAGTATACAATAGGCAGTAGGGTATTATAGGAGAGTATATACGGAGCAGAGTGTAGTCGGGGCAAGAATATTTATACGGGCAGAGGTATGGTGCTAGAGTATATAATAGAGTGCAGAGTATATGAGTGGCTAGAGTATATACATGGGTAGAGTATATACGGGGAGTTAATAGGGGACAGAGTATATTACAGGAGCAGAGTACATATCTGGTAAGTGTATAACTAGGAGCAAGTATATCTCTGGACAGAGTTATAACAGGGACAGAATATATATCATGGACAGAGGGTATATATCGATTGTATAATAGATCCTCGTCTCACATTGCTGCAGAAGTTGACTCACTTAGGTATCAGCGGCTCAACTGTAGTATCATGGCTAAGGGTTCATAGCACAGCGTAATCTCCAGTCAGTATGAAGCAAGATGAGTATATTAAAACAATGTGCATTAACAGGAGTAAACAGGATATACGCTCTGGTATGTTAACAGGGCATTCTGAACAAGTGCAGAGTAGATACATACAGTAATACAGCATAGTATAAAGGCATTAAACAGCAGTACTATGGTCTAGTAATCATGCTGATTGATATCTGAGTATACGCAATTATACTGACAAGTAATCACAGAAGTATATATTATACAGTAACCATATATCTGAGTACTATATAACTGCTAGTATACCTCACTTAGAGTATCACAGTGGCCACGTTACGCAGGTATATGCGACAGTAATAGCTGGAGCAGTCACAGTAGCACTAGTACATCACAGTGAGTTACATCACAGATCAGAGTATATACGCTAGAGTACACAATGTGATATTCAGTTACTAGAGTCATACAACAAGTAGCTTAGCAGAGCCACATACACTAGAGTAACAGGTAACAGAATAGTGAGCAGTTACTGACAGTAATTGACAAGTGCAGTAACTGAGTCACACAGTACACTAGAGTACATCCGTGCACAGTATGATAGTTAAGGCATCGTGCAACATGCTGTACATAGTGACTAATACAGTTCATAGCGGACTATGTATCCATTCTTGCACAGATACATCACAGTACACTACAGTACATCACAGTGACACAGACAATCACAGTACACAAGTACATCACAGTACACTAGAACATCACAGTGACTACTACAGTCACTAGTACACCCAAGTACATCACAGTACACTAGAGTATATCCAGGCCAGTACAACAGTACAGAGTATCACAGTACACTAGAGTAATCACAGTGCACTAGATACATCACAGTACACCAGAGTACATCACAGTACACTAGAGTACATCACATACACTAATACATACAGTACACTAGAGATACATCACAGAGGCACACAGTACCTAGAGATACACAGTCACTAGATACATCACAGTACACTAGAGTATATCACAGTACACTAGAGTAATCACATTTGACACTAGATGTACATCACAGTACACTAGAGTACATCACAGTCACTAGTACATCACAGTACACTAGAGTACATCACAGTACACTAGAGTACATCACAGTGCACTAGACTACATACAGTAACAGTACATTAGGGTACATCACAGTGCACCACAGTACACTAGAGGACATCACAGTACACTAGAGGACATCACAGTACACTAGAGTACATCACAGTACACTAGAGCACATCACAGTGCACTAGACTTCATCACAGTACACCAGAGTACATCACAGTACACTAGAGTACATCACAGTACCTAAGTACTAACAGTCACCAGTACACCAGAGTACAGTACATCACAGTACGCTAGAGTATATCACAGTGCACTAGACTACATCACAGTACACCAGAGCACATCACAGTACACTAGAGTACATCACAGTGCACTAGACTACATCACAGTACACCAGAGTACATCACAGTACACTAGAGTACATCACAGTACACTAGAGTACATCACAGTACACCAGAGTACATCACAGTGCACTAGACTACATCACAGTACACCAGAGTACATCACAGTACACTAGAGTACATCACAGTACACTAGAGTACATCACAGTACACTAGAGTGCATCACAGTACACTAGAGTACATCACAGTATACTAGAGTGCATCACAGTACACCAGAGTACATCACAGTACACTAGAGTACATCACAGTACGCTATAGTATATCACAGTACGCTAGAGTACATCACAGTATACTAGAGTACATCACAGTACACTAGAGTACATCACAGTACACTAGAGTACATCACAGTACGCTAGAGTATATCACATTACACTAGAGTATATCACAGTACACTAGAGTACATCACAGTACACTAGAGTACATCACAGTACGCTAGAGTATCTCACAGTACGCTAGAGTACATCACAGTATACTAGAGTACATCACAGTACACCAGAGTACATCACAGTACACTAGAGTACATCACAGTACGCTAGAGCATATCACAGTACGCTAGAGTACATCACAGTATACTAGAGTACATCACAGTACACTAGAGTACATCACAGTACACTAGAGTACATCATAGTGCACTAGACTACATCACAGTACACCAGAGTACATCACAGTACACTAGAGTACATCACAGTACGCTAGAGTATATCACAGTACGCTAGAGTACATCACAGTATACTAGAGTACATCACAGTACACTAGAGTACATCACAGTACACTAGAGTACATCATAGTGCACTAGACTACATCACAGTACACCAGAGTACAACACAGTACACTAGAGTACATCACAGTACGCTAGAGTACATCACAGTACACTAGAGTACATCACAGTATACTAGAGTGCATCACAACACACCACGTAGATATATGCTGAAGGAAAACAAAAGCTTCGCTATTGTTTACGTTTATGTCCTCCCAGGTGGGGGTTTATTTCCTGGCCAGAGTTGCTCCGTCACACCAACTACCTGGTTTTCCTTGCCGAGGCGCACTGAGCATTCCCACGCCCACGCCCAAGTCCTAACCGCCCATTCCCATGTCTTTCCGCCTTCACCAACGCCTTCCGTGGACGTCGACTCTCCAAACATCGCCTCAGAGGAAATTTAACTGAAATCATTATAAATATATAATTATGGCTATCTGTAGGCCTTCTTTTTTCTATTTTACACCATAAGATCGATGGAAAAGAAGTAGAAATGACGTGTCTGACCTCACTAGGTCAAGCCGGTGGGAGAATTGGACCTGCCTCGCGCAGGCCAGTGTGGCAGCGTGGGTGGAGGTCTCCAGTCTCAAGAACACCTGGGGAACTAACACAGAACTGATCTCTCTGCCTTATACTCTTGTTTACCTCCTCCCTGGCACCTTTATCCTCTTAAACATAACGTATCAATAATGTCAATAACTCTCTTGACTTATGATTTTATATCCATCATTAAATTTACTCACGCCGCTGATCA